AAACGGCCGTCTCAAAACACTGTGTCAAAATAATCTACTTTACCATGAAACATTTACAACAAATATGTCCTTCATATTTGTTGCAAATCTGATCCTCACCTTATCTCTGCCCCAAGTCTATCACTGACTATCACGATCCACACCAAACTGAAAACAGCCTTGTCAGAATGTAAAAGGACTCATTTATACTATCAAATAATATATGCAACAAGTTCTTGATACTTTTACCCACTTCATCACTAATCCCTTCTCAAGAGGTAGAGTGAAGGCAGTAGGATAAGGCTCAGGAATGGAGCAAGAATACAATTTTTCATGTTACTTAATAACAAAATTGTAAAAGACCAAAATTTTAATTTTTAAAGTCATCTAAAAAGGTTCCCAAATCACAGTAGCTTTGCTGAGAAGCCCAGTGCTCTAATCAGACTTAAAAGAGAATTCAGCATTTCTACCATCTCGGATTTGTTCGTTTGTTCAACTTACAGTATTTTTGAGGTATTAAAACAAATTAGGGATATATATATATATATATATATATACTGCCTATTTTATTACACATGTAATATGCAATCCTCTCTCTCAATAGAAAACTACAATTTTATCATTTCCGTTTCTGAAGTGGAGATTACCACCAGCTTCTTGAATGAGAAAATCAGACTAAGTGTTCATATCCTTTCCTCGTGGATCTCGGCCAGAGAAGTTTCCAGCTCACTCACCTTTGGGTTCGTGTGATTCATCATCACTGTCCGAGCTATCGTTACTCACAATATGCTTTGTTGTAATATTTTCTGTGAAAAAGAGACAAAACAATTGAAGCATCTTAGGTGTCAAAATTCACAAATTTATTATAAAGAAGTAATCTGAGCAAAACCACAGAATGAGATCTACTAGCTCTGCTAGTATACATTTAAATCCATTTAATAAATCTAGATTTATTAGATTTAATCATGTTTTCAGATTTCTCACCAGAAACAAAGTTTCCTAGGACATGAAAAATTAGTTTATATTTATTAATTCATGATTTAAAGAGGATAATTTTTATGTTAATCATAATTCCAACAAAAAGCACAACTTGATTATAGGAAGCTCTTGTTATACCAAAAAATACTTGTTTTTCTTCCTTATTTTTAAGTGGTGTTTATGAAGGTAGAGGAGAAAACCAAAACCTACAGGGGAGCTACAGAACAGTTTTCTTAAAATGAATGAAAGATGCTAACAAATTATCTTTTGATTTTCAATAATATTGTAAGTTGTCAGTTGAAATTCACCTTTTGGTGTCAAGAATTTGTGCTTTCTGCAGAACATATTAAGAAAACAGTTATAAAAACTAAAATAACAACCAGAAATCCTTAAAACAAAGACAGCAGTAAAATCTAGCATGATTACTAGTTGTCTTTTTTCTTTATTTTTTAAAAACGGTTACCCAGGCTGGGCTGCAGCAGCATGATCTCTGCTCACTTCAACCTCTGCCTCTGTGCTCAAACAATCCTTCTGCTGTAGCTCCTGAGTAGCTGGGTCTATAGGCATGGACAATCCTACTTGGCTAATTTTTTTATTTTTATTTTTTGTAGAAATGAGGTCTCACTCTACTGCCTAGGCTGGTCTCAAACTCCTCCACCCAAGCAATCTTCCTGCCGTGGCCTCTTAAAAAGCCAGGATCATAGGCATGAGCCACCGTGCCCAGCCTAGTTGTCTTTTTTCAAGTAAAATGTGCAAGGATGACCAAGGGTATGTAATGGAAGGGTTAATAAATGCTTAAGGCAGTGGACTGACATTTATTTTTTAAGTTTTTACTGGCATGACTATACATACATTTGATAAAATGTTCACAAGCCAATATTATTGGTTTCATTTCATGACTATTATCAATAGTAATTTTGTAACATGGAGGTATGGGAGATGTTAAGGAATGATCTACTCCAGGTGCCATGTACATTACATGTGTTTCTAGGCCTACATGTATTTTGTTTTCCTTCCTTATGCATTTTCTTTCTTCCTTTCTCCCCTCCATTCCTTCCTTCCTTCTTTCCTTCCTTTCTCTTTTTCTCTTTCTTTCTTTCTTCCTCTCTTTCTTTCTTTTCTTTCTGTCACATTTGATAGTTTGATTTAGTTCACCAAAATAGTGTCTTATTTGTAAGGAAGAACTTCATATGAATAGCTAACTATTGTGAATTTACATGTTTTTCATCCTAGTATAATGTACAACTCTGTCTCTCAAAAGTGTAAAATTTTCACATTCATTCACAACTCCTCAGAGAGTAAATAATTTCATTCAGAGTTACCTGACTGTAGTCCAATTTACCTTAAAGTCTTTCTTCAGAAAGAAGAAAACAGAAAAGCAAAAATCATCTCTGAACACTCCTTTAGGAGGTAGACGTCAGTCAGCCAAAGGATAGAGTAGTCACCAGGAGTCCTCAGAGTCCTCTCAGTCACCTCTCTGGTTTCATTTCTGGAAATCCTTACTTAATCTGAGGTAACATGCTTCCTGCCGACTGGCGGATCACACATACACGATATTCCCCCTCAGTCTGACACACAGTACGAGTAAATAGGCTGCCAGACTGCTGGCCTCTGAGGAAACTTCTCAACAAAGAACCTTCTCAAAACTACTTAGTATAAACCTCCTCCTTTTCCTTGGCCTTTAGCCACTGTCTCACCCACACTCAGATATGTTATTTCAGTCCTATTCTCTTCCTGCCTTAAGAAGAAAAAAATAACAAACCCTAGGTTATCTGGGTTATTCAACAGAGGAGAACAGGAAGCAAGCCTCAATATGTGATCTTCTCTTTCTTCTTTTATTTTTTTCTTAAAATCTTCCCATAATTTAGAGAAAGGGTTTGTTATTTCCACAAAGAGTTGAGAACAGGACATTCATCTGGCATATAACATTCATTAAATAAGTCAAGGAAGATCATTTTATCATGATACACTTTGCCTTGCAGTTACTGGTAAGAGAATGTGCCCCACAGTACGTGTCACAGCAGGCCCATGAGTGCCACCTACCTTGTCTGCTCATTAACTGGGTGACGAGCAGAGGACAGTAAGTAAACAAGCACAAGGTGCCTTGTTTGTTTGTTTTTATTTTTCTTCCAATGAAATTATAAGATCACTTTTCCACTATTCATCAAGAACTAACCAAAAATACAAATGATGCTCTTGAAAATATTATGAACTATAGGAGTTTACTGCACTAAGTATACATATCAAATAAATCATCATATAACTAAAATCAATTCTTGTAGGCACAGTGGTAATACTGCTTATAAGCCACCTTAATGTTCAAATTAATGTTACACTTATATTCTCTTTTGCATGTAAACTTAATTAAATCAACTGGCATTGCCTGAGATACCAAGTACAGCTTGTTTAAAATTCCTGCAGTAAGCTTTTTGTATGTGAGCATTCTTCAAGTAAATTAATTATTTAAAAAGTCATCAATGTTATTCTGTCAACTCCTCTGTTCTCAGATAGATCTGTGCTACTTCCCAAATACAGAAGAGATAGTAGGTAGCTGTGCTGATACTCCCATCAGGTGCTTCCCCTGACCCCTGCTGTTAGGGCTCCAAATTCAGATTTAGCATTCCACCATTTCTTTATGCTATCAGTCAAAACAGTCAAAACAAAAATTAGTGTTGATTAAAATACAGGTGGCAAGGCTTTTGGAAGATACTGAAGGTAATTTATTTTTTTGGCTTTTAGCCAAAATTTATTCATTTAAGAAAACATGTTTCTATGGTATTATTCTTATAATGAATGAAAACCACTGGTCCCAGTTGAGATTGTCTGCCTTCTCAGGTTTTGTGAATATTTGTAATTTATTGTAGGCTAATGGGTTAGATTTAATGAAAATCATTAGTTTAAGTTTACTAGAGGTAATTTGATTTTTTTTTCCTTCTTTTGGATATAGATTAGTATAAGATGATAACAGAATTCCAATGAGTTAATGTTGAAGGGTTAAATAAATTGTGGCAAGCATAAACTTAAGTGTTACACTGTATTTAGCTGTTGGTGAATCTAATCTTTAAAAAGCTATTCTTATTTGATAAAAAGAGGACTTTCCAATAAAATAATATGTTTAGCAGTATAATGAGAAAAAGGAATAGAGTTGTGTTCTATTAAAAATTACTCTTAGGAATTAATGATTTTTATGAGTTCTATAAACTCAGTGTCAAAATAATACTTAAGAGGTAACTTACATATTTTAGGAAATGTTTAGGTTGAGTCAACCAAATTATTAATAAATTTAGAATAATTAAAATACGAATATTTAATATTCTAGCTATATATGTTAATAAAATATATCAATGTAGCCAGATTTTTATCAATGTAAGCACATCTTTAGGATACCTAATTCTTCCTCCATTGTGGAGCCTCTACTTTGTGAACCAGAAACGCCCAAAACTCTGTTGAACAATATGGAAAATGCACTGCCCCAGACACCTAAAATAAAGGAGAAACAGAGAATAACTTAAAAATGTACCAGGATTTAAAATGGTCAAACAAATCAGTGATAATATGTTCATTTTGATCACTTACCCATTAAGAAATGCAAAGGGTTTTCTTCATACTTCTTAACAACTGTTCCCATAAAAAATTTGCTTCCAAATAAGTCAGGAGCCATAAAAGTACCATATTTAGCCATGCCAATTTCGTATGGACTAAATTCAACCCAATCTGAAAGCATTTTAAAAACAAGGCAATCCATTAATAGGGAAATGCTCTAGCATGGTGTACACAGCTAATGATCACTGTAATAATGTTATGCTTATTCTCATTCATTTATTGAAAATGTTGAAATGAAAACATTAGCCAAATGCCCATTACGTATATGACACTGTGTAGAAGTTGGGGGAAAAACGCTTAGAGGTGAATATGACAATACAAAAAGATGCCTTCTAATTTGCAGAAATTGGTTACACTTTTCTATTTAAAAACTCAGATGTCTTTTTGAAGTCAGTTTTCATTCTATAGAATAGAAAACTGAAAACCGCTAACTAGATATAAATTTCATGGAGCAGACAGAAGAAATTAAACTCTTTGTTAACATTACAAGCAGTCTATTAAAATGAAATAAAATGTTTTCTAACATTTACCTTTTCTTCATCTTTAAATTTTGCTTACTAGCCACCTATTCTAACTCCACAAGATTGCAATACAAAGTTTTTAGGTTGAATGCCTTAGAAAAACATGGTAATAATGTCAGTGATGTATCCTGTCTAAGAGCAGGGGCTCTGGAGCCGGACTGTCTGGGATCAAATCCCATGCTGCTGCTTACGAACTGTGCTTACTGACTTGGGTACATTATCCTCTCTCTGTCTTAAGTCCCTAATCTGTAAAATGTGAATAAAATTAGTAGATAGTGTATAGGGTTGTTTTGAAGATCCAATGAGTTAAGAAATATAAGCAGCTTAGAAGAGGGCATAGCACATTTCAATAGTGGCCACTTTATGTTTCACGTATCCCCATGGCTATAACTATGTCTAATTGTCATCTGCATCTTAATGTCTTCAGCAAGAACTCCTGGCTTCTGATTCCCATTTTCTACACTTGCCACTCCTTCATTCTTCTTGTTGGTAAAAGGTACTATTATTCATACTCACTTTAGGATGACCCTTGATGGTTCTCTTTCCTTATAGCTTACATCTAAAAAATCAGTGCTGTAGGCTCTATCACCAGTTATGTTTAGAACCTGGTCACCTATCCATTTCCCGGCCGTGACCATACTGATACAAACAGCTTTATTCTCTCTCTTGAACCTTCACGATAGCCTCCTAAAATGCTTCTACTCTGTTCACCTATTACCTTTTTGATATCCCATATCCAGAAGAAATCTTTAAAAATATAAATCACAGCACACTAGTGTCATCTGAAAGCTTCCCATTACACTGAAAACAGAAACAGAGCCTACAAGTTTCCATCCTGGCCTAGATCCCACTCGCTGTGAGATGCGGCCACATCTTCTAACAATGTTCTATCACATTTTGTCTTGCGTATCCCACTTCAGCTGCAGTCTTTTTGCTGTTCCTCAGAGAAGTCAAGTTCATTCCCACTTCTGCATACACTTGCTATTCCCTTCTGCTGTTATAAGGCTTGCTCCTACGGAATCTTTAGTTTAGGGTCTTTGTTGATGGTCGGTTATAAAATCCCAACATCATCCACCCCGACCAACTCTTAAGTCTCTGTCCCATTTCATTTTTTTTCTAGTTTTTCCCTTTCTGAAATTATAATATGTTGGAAATCGCTTATCCAACAATACAAAATCCAAACAATTCCAAAAGTCATAAGCTTTTTCGTTACTCATTTGGTGGTAAAATCTGATCTGAATCCATTTAGTGAGAAATCAGTCTTAAATGTTGGTGGGTTCTCTTATAATTCATTTATCCCACTCGATGTGAATATTTAGGTATCCTATTGGAGAACTATCACTGTTTGATTACAAAAACCCACTGGGATATTAAGTAATACACAATATGAGTACCTTTATACCTTTAAAATCCAAATATTTTGAATTCTAAAACACATGTCACCAAAGGTTTGGAAAAGGAATGGTGGATCTATATTTATTGTTTGTTCAATGGTAGATCACAACATTCTTCTTTCACGAAGGAAGGGATGAAATCACAATTTTGATAACATTATAATTCATTATACGTCAAAGCCAAATGGTACATATACTCTTCATCAGAAAGTGATGTGATTTACTATGATTTACATGGAGTTCGTGAGACATGACTAGCAATGAGTCAGAGTCTGTTAGGAAAATTCCTGTATTCATACAAGTAATTGCCCTATCTCTCAATTTCACACCCTGTCATGGGAACTGAAGCGTAACAACTTCCTGGTTGCTACTTTTCTAGCTATCTCTTCTTTATTAGTGCTGTGGCCTGGGCACACAGTAACTATAGGCATTCTCAAAAGCTAAGATGAGCCCTGCACTCTTCACTGAAGAAATCATGGTATTAGTTTTCAACTAATTGTCTCCTGCTGGTGACTCTACCTGTTGACACCAGCCTCTCTCCTGCATCTCCACAGACTGCCAACTGCCTTTGGGCCCCTTACACTCAGATACTCTGTCATCTTCTCCCACTAGACTTACCTAGATAAGAACTCATCACTCTTCTTCCAGGCCAGCTTACCTATTTCAGTAAACCGTGCTATCACTCTATCAAATCCATCATGGCATCACACCGATGACTCTTAGGCCTCTCATATCCATGTACTCTTTTCTTTCTTTATAAGTAGGTCCCAGTTCCGGGGCTTTATCACAAAAACTGGAAGCAAACATCTCTGCTTCCAGTTTCATTCCTTTCCCTTCTGTCTTTAATTGGACACGAAAGTACTTTTTTCAAAAACACTATGTAAATAATTTTATTGCCCTGCATAAAATCATTAACTATTTCCTATTATCATCAAAAGTACATAAAAATGTCTCTGTCTGGAATTAAAATCATTCCATAACTTGGGACTAATGGTGTCTCCAAATGCAACACCTTTCTTCACCAGTGTGTGCATAAGTCCTAGGGTAGTTTTTTTTGTTTGTTTTCAGTGATGCCCAAAACATACCTCTGCTTCCCTTCTGAGTGCTTTCTCATATTGTTTCCACACAAAGATGTCTTTTGACCTGTACTTGACAGATCCCTCTACGTTCAACCTAAATCCAAGCTTCATCACCCTCACAAAGTCTTTCTTATGACTATACTAAATCTCTATGATGGCTCACCCTTATGTCAGGTCTACATACTTACGTCATATATAGGCATATTGTAGGAATTTTCCCATGCTTTATTTTTGTCTCTTTAATAGGATTATAACTTTCTTGAGGAAAAGTACTATCTTTGTATTTCTATAGTGTCTTGTCAAAAAATTTACCATGATGCCGAGTTCATAACCAGAAGTTGTAATCCCTAAATGCAGTTCATTCACCAGTGGAAATTTTTAAATGAATGTTTTAAGTCCTCTCAGCAAGGTGATGTAGTGGAGGAGTCAAGAATTTCTAACAGTTTAAACACGAATGTTTATTTGTTGAAAATTTCCAAGGAATTTCTAAATGAAACATCTAAAATTATTCCAAGAGGGATGGAAAATGTTATCCGATATTGTTAAAGTAAAATTATTAATAAAGCTTCTGTAACCAAATTTGATTATTTGACTTTTTAAAATATAATTCGGAGACTCTCTCAACTTTTTCCTCTACAGAGCCACCTTCATTCTAAGCATATATTAGAAGAATAAATTACAGACATGTCTCTATTCTTTTTTCTCAGTAACTCAAGTAACGCTACTTGAACCTCAGGACATGTAACTTAAGATGTCTTATCGGGGTACAAGATTCATATAATTAATGTTTAATGATTTTGTCTAAATCTGTTGGAAGACACAGCTCAAACCTCCTTATCACAGAAGCTTAAAAATGAAGGTTAGTGGTGTACCCCTCATCTCAGCAGCAGGACTGCAGTTAGGCAGATGTCTAAATCAAATACATCCAGGTCCATAGACTACTAACTGAATATAAAACAGCCTTTTCTCAGTCTAGAAGAACGCAGAATACCCACTCACCCAAATATTATTTATTCTTTAATTATTTTAGTTAGGTTTTCTTTGAAAATGGCTATTGACTAAAAATTCAGAATAAAATATAAGCACTGTGAAAAGTCCAGAACAATCATAATAAAAATAAAACTATTATATTTTTATGCCTTCTTATAGTTTTCAGTCTTATCTTAAGCATAGTTCATATTATTGTATTAATATCTCTGTAAGATAAATCTTAAGGTTACTATCCTTTTTAAATAATGAAGAAAATAAAGAATCAGAGATTACATGGCTAGCCTGAGGTATTCAGTTTAGAATTATTGTGAGACAAGGCTTCTAAGTTAGAATCTAGTGCTCTTTCGGCCATATCATTCTTCTTCCTGGGTGATGGATGATTTATTTGGCCATGCAAAAATCTGACTAGCATGCAAGTGTTATAGACCAATGAATTCCAAAAATTTCAAAACTTTACAAGATAATAGCTATGGCGGGGGGGGAGGGGCAGGGCAGGGAAGCAATTTCATTATGGTGCTTACTTTTCTTATGTCATAGTCTCAGCTCTCTACTGTGAACTCCATTATAGTCCAAGATGTGTGTTTCCTTGTTGCTGCCGATCAAACCAGATTTATCCTAGTCCCTGCTGCATGTCCCCCTCCATAATCCCATAATTAAATTTGCCTTTCATATTCAAATCCTATTCATTTTTAAGATCTAGAGCTCTGACTTTTCTTATACAGCTTTCACAGAACATTCTAATTTGTTAAAATCTACTGGAAACTTATTATTAGGGCCTGCCATTGTTTTACAACCTTTCTCACTTTCTGGCAAAATATAGTGAGAAGTTTCATCTTCATTTAACAGATGAGAAAACTGGGTCTAACAGAGGTCCTATAACTTGGTCAAAATGACAGTGTATAGTAACAGTTATGTACTCTCTGGTGCCTTAACTTCTTTAATAGTTATTATAAATTTTCCAAACAGATTAAAAGGTCTTATAGGGTGGGGATGATATATTGTGGTGAGGAAAGAGGAGTTCATCCTTAGTGCCTGCAGACTACAATCCACATAGTCAAGTATCACTGTGTACACATCAGAAGTCAGTATGGTAAAACAAAAAGAAGAAAGGATTTTTGAAACCAATTCTCAGCACTTCTAATTACTTTCTAAGTGGCAATGTGCAATCTATTTAATATTTATGAGGTTCTGGTTTTTCTTCTGTGGAACACAGCTAAAAATACCTACTCCCCGGTTGTAGTAAACATGGAATAAAATAATAAATATGATAAGTGCCTTATGAACCATAAGGATGACAAACATTTTAGCCAATATTTTAACAAACACTTGACTGGATGGATCCCATATGTGCTAATTTTTGTCAACTATTCAAAATTCTCGTCTGAGAGGCAGTGGAGAGAATAGTGAAAATTACAAAAGGATCCTGGATATATATCTGCTAAAAACACACCATTCATGATGATTTGTTACACTCATGGTGTGTCTTAAGTCCCTGAGATACTTTTCCTAAAAATAGAATGAAACCCACCAGCCACAGTAGCCATTGTGCTGCAGACTGATACTGACAGAGCCCCCCAAAAGTGTGATGTTGTGTACTTTTAGAGTATCCAAGAAGCAAAGCTTGAGAAGAAACAAGTGTTCACTCATGAGATTTAACAAAATGAGGCATTTTGTTCATCAACCACTGCAAATGTACACTAGTACTTTTTAGGTGCTGAATTATAAAAATTACAACAATGCTTTAAATGGCAAACATACAGTTGGCTCTGCATACCCATGAGTTCAGCAAACTCAATCAACTGCAGATCGAAAGTATTTGAAAAAATTCCACAAAATGTAACGCGGTTGACATGTACTATGTAGTTAAGCCTACTATGGTTTGATCTATACTAAACATGTACAGACTTTTTTCCTTGTAATTATTCCCTAAAGAATATAACAACTATTTACCTAGCATTTACATTGTATTAGGTGTAAGGTTTATTGCTGGGGTAAAATGAGGAAATTGAGGCAAGTAGAAGAAAATGAGAAGCTAATTTATTTAGCTCCTGGGTGAGGTTCTGTGGTTTAAGGGCCAAAGAAGTCACGCCCAGGGGTTTTATGGGGAGGGGAGGCAATGGACTGGGTTTTGGGAAATAAAACGAAAGCAGTTTTATTGGCTGTTGGGAAACAGGATGTGCATGGAGTGAGCTGTCATTGGTAGGTGGGCGGGACTTTGGGTAAGTGGGCCTTGATTGGCTGTTGGGGAAACAAAGCAAAAGCAGCTTTATTGGCTGTTGGGAAACAGGATGTGCATGGAGTGAGCTGTCATTGGTAGGTGGGTGGGACTCTGGGTAAGTGGGCCTTGATTGGCTGTTGGGGAAACAAAGCAAAGGCAGCTTTATTGGCTGTTGGGAAACAGGATGTGCATGGAGTGAGCTGTCATTGGTAGGCGGGCGGGACTTTGGGTAAGTGGGCCAGCCGGGGGCTATTGGGCAGGGTTTGGTGGGGCTTCTTTAAAATTTTTTTGGCAGGGTTTTTTAATGGTAGGCTGGGGTTGACCGCTTAGTTTGGTGCTGAATGTGGATCTGGGTGCAGTAGAAGAAGTGGGTGTGGGGAATTCACGTGGAGAAGCCAAATGCTGAGTAATGTGCTCAAAAGGATAAGGCGCGAGCAGGGATAGGTGTGTCCATTTAACTCCCTGTGAGGCAACCGGCCTTACATTAGGTATTGTGAGTAACCTAGAGATGATTTAAAGTATATAGGACATGTGTAGGTTACCTGCAAATACTGTGCCATTTGATATAAGGGGCTTGAGCATCCACTGAATTTGGTATCCACAGGGAGCCCTAGAGCCAAACCTCCATGAGTACTAAGGGACAACTCTAGATCATGTTACCCAATTAATGAAAAGATAACCAACAAGTAAAAGGATTTGCGTTGCCTCAAAGCATAGGTACATTATTTTGTCAAAAGCTGTTGAGAAACAGATAACTAAAATTGAGTTATTGATTATATTCCTGATTTTCATTTTACCATATTAAATGAAAATACATTAGTTACTAGTTTCATGGAATATTCTCTACAACCAGAAAATTGTCTCGCTTAATATGGTCTTATATTTTCAAAGTCTTATGTCATAGAAAATACATTAAAATAAACAACTGAAATTGCTTATGACTTTCTTCTAAAGAAAATCATGGGAAACCGCAATTCAGAGGTTCCAGGAGGTGTTCTGAGAAAGGAAACGGCATACCTGCAAACATCAGCTCTGAAACGTCGGGCTTGACATGAAGACAGGTGAAAAGAGGTAAAGGGCACTGTGCAGTATTGACTTTTTCCTTCAAACTACTCAAGGTAGTATTCATCCTCTGTCCACAGAAGAAAGAAAAAGGTGACTTTAAATTTATAAACAGATACAGGAAGAATGCTATTTAAAATAGTACTTCCAATCAAAATCTTATAATTTTATAATAAAAATAAGTCTTATTACTTCTAGAAATTACGAGGTCCTGAATGAACAACAACAACAAAAAAATAAGCCCTATGGAAGTAACTATCTTCATTCTGAAAATAATCATAACTCTAGAGACTATGTCTACATCTGAACTGGAGAATGAATTAGCAACTATGGAGCCCAGAAGAAACTTGGCCCCTGGACTCCCTGTCTCAGGCTCTCCTCTGCTCCATCTTCGACAAAACATCTCACTGCAATCATATACCAAGTGGGTCTGTTCTATGTGATCCCCCTCCTTTCTTGACTGTTCAGGCTAAGTTCATTCTTCCTTATCTAAAAACGTTATTGTTCTTGGAGGGAACGGGCAGTTAAGGGTTAAAATATGAATTTTTTTTCCCCCAGAGAAAATGAATACAAAAGCACTTCCTCACACATTCAAAACCTTTACATCATTTGAATGAATTAGTAAGCACTAGTTTGACAGGTAGAAGAGTTACAGTATCTGGTGGGAGAATGGGTGCAGTACACATAGTTGGAAGAATAAGTAGAGTCTAGTGATTTTTATAAAATGTATTGCATTTTCTTTTATAATATGCTTTGTCTACTTGTTGTAAAAGTAATGTAGATTGAACTGTAACTTACATTATGAATTAGTGTTTCTCCTATTAGCATCCCAAAGATATCAGTAAAAGTGACAGGCTGTCCAGAGCTTTTCTTCTTCCATAAAGACTCAACATATCTTTTAACTTTCTGTGGTGTGAGAAGTAAAAGGGGGTTGTGGCTAACATTTTTCATTAGTTCTTCATTAATCTCCTCTGGCCCTTTCTCTGGAAAATCGGGGTGAGAATACAAGGTTGACATGTACCTACACAGAAAACAAAGCACAATCAGTAAAGATAAAGGGCATTACACAGCAGTCTCCAAAGAAACCGGGACTCTCTGTAAATGAAGAATGGTGGATATATTTGGTTAACTTCATTATCTGATGGCAGATATTAACAAATGTAAGAAAAGAACGTGTCAATCAGAAAGGAGCTGGTCTACCATGAAAGCAAAGTAAGAAAGAGGTATCAGAGGAAACACTGAGCTTCCATGCACAGTCCAAGAGAGAGGGTGCCCTACTAGGCCCACTGTCCATTATCTAGAGTGCCAGGAATGCGTATCTCCATCAGACTATTTGAGATTGATGACAGAGCACATCTGAGTCATGTAAATAAATTGACTTGTCTGGCTCCAAGACCAGTCAAGCAATCTGATCATCTAAATTTTCATGATGCTTATCTACAGGCAGAAAATGTGCTGTCCCAACTATGGTGAATTCCCAATTCCCTTGACAAATGCTTTTTTTTCCCCTTAATTATCCATTGGCTAATTAGACAAAATCTCAAACCTTGTTAACTGCAGGTCTCTGAATTTCTGAACATAGGAATCTGAAGGCAAAATCCTAAAGAGGAATAAGGTCATTAAAGTAAATGCTTTCTTATGAAGCCTCTTGGCTGCCAGCCATTTGGCCACTTCTGGTACAACTGGAAATCACCGTGAGCCTTAATATTTGATATCTAGATAATAAATATTCAGTTATTGTGCTCCTTCCTGTGAACCAATACCTCTAGTATGGTAGATCTCATGCTGAATATTAATTACTTGTTGACTTATCTTTTCCCTCAATAAATTGCGTCCCTTTCTTCAGGAAATAAACTTGGTTTACTCATCTTTTTTAGCCTCAGTGACTAGTTAATGTCCAGCATATGACAAGCACAGCTTAGAAAACTCACAGAACAAATAGAATATGTAAACACTTCACCACTTCATCCAACCAAGGAGAAAATAGCACATGTTTTAATCTCTTATTTCCCTGGGATTCAAATCAAAATGCCTATTATAATGGTTATTGTTCCTTCAAGGGGAGAAAACTAATAATTCTTGTTGGGCCCCTACTATATTCTGGACATGGTGTTAGTTAATTGTTCACAAGTGGTTGTCTTAAAGACTCACAGTGGTTTTCAAAGTGTAATTATCAGTAAAAAGAGCATTGGTGAATTTAAATAACATGCTCATATTTCCCAATTTATAGCAGCAGAACTGGAATTCAAAATTTGTCCTCTCCCCAATAGGCCTTTTTTTTGTAGTCTATTATACAAGACTTCAGTAGAGACCAAACTATTCCCATTTCGCAATAAATTATAATTCCTTATTGGGTTCAGAGCTACTTGGAGACAAGCTGAGAATAATGATCAGTTAATAAATGGAGAGTAACAGACCCACAATGGAACGCATGCACAGAAAAAAAACCTTTAATATACTTTTATGCCACAAATTGAATTTGAAACAATTCTCTCAATATGTAGTAATGATAAACCAAACAGACTTGTCCAGCTCAACCTAGTATAATCACCAAATATCTATAAAAATACAGCTTTGAATCCTTGAAAGATACACAGTTCATTTATTCCTATAGTTATTCCAAAGTCTACCATGTGATCCATCCAAATCAATAAAGATATGATATTCTGGACCTCATCATACTTTTAATGAATGCACAATGTACTCTCTGAAGGTTGAAGTAAACTAGTGTTCTCTATCTCTCTCTCTATCTGTCTCTCTCTCCTCCCCACTCCCCCACCCCCCACCTTGTTAAGCAGTCGGCTTAGAAATATAAGCCCTGGTGGGAGACAGAAAAACCTGAAATACTTCAACCATTGACATTGGGTTAATGGTCTGTGCTTGTTCAGCATTTATGACATATATTCCTCAGAATTCACAAAATGAGTTAGATAGTATTTTCATGGTATCCCTGCAGTTACATCTGAGTGAGATTGTCTCAAAAAATAAAAAATCAAATATACAAATGTTATCCCAATTTCTAAATCTATAGTTAAGCCTTTATTTTCATCTCTTTACCAATAATGTTTCCCAATTATACCAATCAATTTTCAAAAAGAGAGTAGCTTAGACATAGGAGGACCTCTATAAATTAGTTAATGAATGAAAGGGTCTTAGGTTTATTTGTCGATAAATCTGTAAACATTTGCCTCTAATTTTTCAACATATTTATAAGAGAGGACACCTCATTTTTTTAATCTAAATGCATTTTAGGTCGTGTGACATTTTAGATGCAAATCAGCCAGAGAAGAAGAAATGTTCAGTTCAATGCCTGTCTCCAAATCAAATTGTCAGTGTTCTAAAATATCAGTAGCTAACCACCAGGACTTGCTGAATCCGAACCTTCAGGGATAAACATGTAGAATTTGGGGGCTTAAAAAAGTGGAGAAGTGATTTTCATCTGCAACTAAGATTTAGAATCTCAAATCTTCTTCAGAAGACCCTCAACACCTGTTAAGCAAATATCTTAAAATCCTTTAAAAACTCCTAAATTAATTTTTCCATAAAATGCAGCTACTTACACATTACTTTATTTGGTGATTAAGCAACTATGACCTAAATAAAGTCAGGCACTGTGCTAGTAAGAGAGATTCATTAGGGAACAAGACCATCTTAGCCCTTAAACAACAAATTTTCTCTAACAAATATTGACCTTTGAGTCTGTTATACCTTATGTGACCATTTCTGTTAATGCTGTTTCTTTTTTCATTGTTCCAGCAATTTTTTGTACTACTAAGCTGAATGTTCTCACTCTCAAATTCTATTTTAGTTAGTTCAGTAAATTGGGCCATATTGTCTACAGATGCAGAGCTGTTCTCATTTCTTTTTAGATGGCAATACTGTACAAACATGGCAGTCAACATGCAATAGCCCCTGGAAGAACAGCCGAGGAAGAAAGCTGTGCTAATCCTGAGTAAAAGAACACAGGATTACTGTCCTGATTTTTGAGTTCACTCATTTCAGGTCTCCAGGTTAGCTAATACCTAGAGTTAAAGAATCACAAGTATCATCCAAAATTAATCTCAGAAGTAATTACCATAAAGGTAGTAGCAGCTATCAGGGAAGCCTTATCCTACCCAAAATTCTCTTTTATGATCACAGAAAACTTTCTGGGAGGTCCAGGGCTTCTCCAGATATTTCCGTATTACCTCACTTACACCAAATCACGGCTGTGTATCAGCAGAATATAAAAGATTACACAACACAGAAGCGTAATTTGTTTTTCCAAGCCTTTCCGAATTCCTTCCTTTGAACTTTTTACCTTCTTACTTATACTTTTTAAGAGAGAACTGTGACCATGAATCATCCTGACCACCTTTACTTGTGCCTCAGGGAGCATCTCTTCTTTCCTTGGTTAACACCTTCACCTGTGCTTTCCATCTGTGTCCTGTCTCTGCTGGTCTTTTTCTATCCATGATCTATTTTTTTACCTTCCATCTATCCCTCGACACTATTTCCTACACCTCAGACATCTACGAAAATGCTCAACTTTCTTAAATTCTGAAAAAAGAAATAAAAACCCTTCCCCAGGCCCTATGTTCCCTTCAAATAATGACTCCCACCTTCTTTTCCAAACAAAGTACTTGAAATAATAGATGGCTCTTATGAGGTCATAGTCCTACTTTTTGTACTTTAATGTTTTATTCAACCCTTATTTTTTGCAATTTCATGTTCAAAATTATCTTTTAATTACTTTAATCAGTGGTTCCTGCTAAAACCACTAACCAAACTCAGTCCTTTGCTAAGCTTTTCACAGATTTTCAACATTTTAAAATATCCCTCCTTCTTGAAAAATCCTTCCCTCTAGATCTCATTTTTCATTTGATTCGCCTCTATGACAGCTTATCTGCAGCCTCCATTAGGGTGCTATTTTCTTTTTATCTATTAAGTTTCGGAGTGTTATAGGATTCCATGAATTAAATTATTGATGATAATAGCTAAAATGGCAGAAGTTGGTGGAATTACCTGTGGAGGACATATCGATATAACAGACCAAAAGAGAAGCCCTGAGGGAAAGCCCACATGAAGGAGAAAAACTGTGGAAGTGGTAGGGACAACATATGGAGGAGAGACCAGAGAGGATGAAATAAAATCAAAGAGGCCCGATAGGAACAATCAGAAAGAAACACAAAGCAATGTGCAAAACGTCTCAGTCTCCAGTCTTGGCCCCCTCCATTCCACGTACCCAAAGAAGTCAAGGAAAACAAAAAACTTCGCAAATTAAGTGGCCTGTGAATGAAAATCTGTTACAAGGAGTGAGCAGCCTTTTAAGGAAGCGAAATAAAAAGGGAAAAGCTGATCTTTAAGGAAATAAGACTGTGAAAGACAGAGTATAAATATATATATATATATATATTCTATAACTATGTATATATTATATAAGTATATATGTAGTATATAGAGAGAATATATATACTTCTCTCTATGTATCTATATATTTCTATATAGAGAATATATATAGATATACATATGTCCTTCTTTATCTTTCACAGTGTATCTCATATATATATATATATAAATGTGTGTGTGTGCCCATTTAAAATCCTTTTATTACATTTTACAGGACATGTTTACTGACAGGAGAATATAAGAAGATATTGCACCAAATCTATAACCAAAGCAATAACTGCAGTTCTAATATAGCTCACGCATACACAATTATATCCCCAAATCAGCACTCAAGGTCTAGTCTTGCTTTATTAGATGAGTTTAAGAAAGTGAGCTTCTTACATTTGTCAGTGATAGACAACAGGGATCTCATAAATAATGAGTATAAAGAAAGAAAACCACTTGAAGAATAATAACAAAATGATTGAGTAGGCGAACCAATGGAAGGGTCCAAGATTTTCTAACACATTACTCATTAAACAGGCAGATGCCTGCTCTTTCCTTCAAGGGAAAGAATGATGATGGGCTACTCCCTGCTTTCAGAAGAAATAAATCGTTTTGAGGGTCCATACAGAGGAGACAGCAATGCTGACTCTAGGTTTTTGTCTCAGAACTAGTCTGATTCAAAACGTTTTTAAAAAACTGTAGATTATTTAAATGTGATATTCTCTATGAAATATATATGTCCAAGAAAAAAGTGTGGTTTAGTAGGAAGAACTCAGAATGACAGATCAAAAGCCTGAGTTTATATGCTAGCTCTACTAGTGATGTTAGACAAGTCATTTGGCTTCTATGTCAAATTTTCTTTAGCATAAAAACGAATAAACTCATATCTGTCTCACAAGATAAAATGGCACAGAAACTTTAAAATGCTAGACATATATAATATGATAATCTGATAGATGAGTTTTGCCATGGCCAAATGAATGAAAAGGCCTTATAAGTCCAAGACAGATCTTCATTAATAAGGTGATACTCTTATTTGAGACATGTGAGCAAGGATTTCATTTGATTTTCAATGTGCTTATGTGAGGTAAGCAAACCAAAAGTATGTAGTATCATTTCTGAAAATGTTTTATAAATATATTTGTGAAAATCTAGAAAGTTATAAGTATTATACATATGTTTTAAGTCTCCACCTCAATTTAGCTGATGTTTTAAGCCTTCACCTAAATACATTTAAAGGACTAATGTCATATATACTTAGATGAAAACCAATGAAATATATAGTATTTCCATATTCAAAATTGTTTTCTTTGTTCTGTATATTATGGTATCTTGCATCTTATTCTATTTGCCCTAAAGAAGAAAATGAATATGGAATGAATCATGTAGAGTTAGACATGTTCACTGAAGGACTACAAATCAGCAAATTATAAGAAGATTAACTTAATTATGGGTAGAGTATGTTGTTCCACTTCTATATTTATCTAGAATTATCTTCAATTTGTCTTTTTGTTTTAACTACATTTTAAGTTACAAAGTGGCTTCAAAAAAGTAAATTTGCAACAAAATTTACTATTAGGTATGAATTTGTCTTTAAAAAATCTTTTAAAGCAGATTGTGGCATCAAACTGGAAAGTTTCAGTAATTTAAAGTTAATGTTCAATTTTCTAAATCCTCTTTTCTCTTATAGTACTTGACTTAAATAAATCCTAAATATTTAAAATTATAAAACTAAAATTAAAAATGTATACTGACCATGTGGAGCCAGACAGACCAGCAACGTAGGTAGCACAATCCAGAATTCCTGATTCGTACAATGCCTTCATCACACCAGAGAATCCCACCATGGCTCGGAAACCCCCACCTGAACCCAATATGGCTACCACAGGCACCTGAAATGATGCGACACAGAGATTTGTACACAAAGTGAAAATCATAAAATACAGTTCCCTTTAGTCTCAATTTTTACATTATATATCCCATATTTTGTCATAAAGAAGTGTAAGTTAACTTCATACTTTAGTAATGGCCTAATTTTTTAAAGCAAGAAAATAAGGCTGGGTGCGGTGGCTCATGCCTGTAATACTAGCACTTTGGAAGGCCAAGGTGGGTGGATCACCTGTGGTCAGGAGTTCAAGACCGGCCTGACCAATATGGTGAAACCCTGTCTTTACTAAAAATACAAAAAAAAAAAAAATTAGCTGGGCATGCTAGAAGGTGCCTATAATCCGAGCTACTTGGGAGGATGAAGCAGGAGAATTGCTGTAACCCAGGAGGCAGCGGTTTCAGTGAGCCGAGATTGTGCCACTGCACTCCAGCCTGGGCAACAGAGCAAGACTCTGTCTCAAAAAGAAAAAAGAAAAGAAATGAATGTTCCATATAAGAAAATTAAAAAGCAATGTATATTGGAAAACAGATATTATGAAAATGACCAACTTACTCTATTTAATAATAACAATAGTCTATATTTGTTCAACCTTTTGCAAATTTTTGGCTTGCTTTCAGGAATATTGTTTTATTTAACCCTCAGAAATCATGTAAGGTGAGCAGAAGGAAAGTATCTGTTGGTTTTGCAAATGAAAGTTCTATAATGATGCTTGATGTTACTTGTGTAAGATCTACTAGCAGTTGAGTAAGCACCTTGCCTTCAAGTTACATTTACAGAGAGAATCTTTAACATCTGGTGACCAATCTGATGTTAGCAGTAACAGAGAGGAAGGTGGGTGGTCAGACTTAGGGTTTCTAGCTTTGCTCTTAAGCAGATGATGCTATCATTACCCAGAACAAGGATCCCAAAGCACGAAGTTAGGCAAAGGAAGAAACAGTGTGCTCGGATTTAGAAATGCTGAATATACAACATGAATACATTGTGTTTCAAGTATTGGAACCTGAACCCTGAGTGGCCACTTACCAATAGATGTATACATATATTCGTGTGGTGATTATTTTACAACAAGAAGGACCAAAAAGATTGTAGTTATAAGATATAGTAGTTGTAAGGACGCCAGATATGAATTTAGACAAAGAGGAAGGATTTGAACTGAGCCCTGAAAGGGGGTTGACTACATAGGCAATATAATAATAATAATAGCAAATATTTATGCTTTAAATTGAGAAAGAGAAATCTGCAGAGGCTAGATCTTATTAGAGTTAGAGCAGTGGATAGAACCCCTACAACTAAATTCCTAACCCAGATCTATACTCTAACAACTGGTCTCAAATCAAAAAACATTAGGCATCAAACTACCTGCAAACCGGAAACCTCATAATGAGGTTGTGCAGTGTAATGGAAGGATCTAAACAGCTTTGAACCTGTGTGTGTGTGTGTGTGTGTGTGTGTGTGTGTGTATGTATGTGTGTGTGTGTGTGTATCTTTATTTTGATGTATATAGGTTCGCATAAACACCATGCTCTCAAACAGATTTTAAAATTATAAATAAAGTAAAATATATAAGTCCTTAAAAGCTTGTCTGGAGGGGGAAATAAAGCTAAGGTAGGAAACTAAAGTAGGTTACAGAGAGGGTGAATAGAGTAAAATAAAGTATTAGGTGCAACAGTAGCTGTAAGGAAGCTAGGTATGAAGTTAGAACGAAGGGGAGGGATTTGAATTCAGCCTTGAAAGGCAGTATAACAACAACAACAATAGTAATAATAAAAGCAAGCATTTAACATTGCTGTGTGCTCAGTTCTGGGCCTAAGGTTCAGACTAAGGCAGTCATAAGCAAGAAAGGGTCGGAGATTTGGGAACCACAATACTTGGGGTCTTAGTATTGTAGCAGGAGTGTACTGGGGAGTTGGGAAGATAGGATTATGAAATGTATTAAGGAAAAACAATTTCAAGGTTGATACTGCAGAAGACAGAAGGTTGTTCATATTTAAAACGTATTTGGGGGCCTTTGAGTCTGTAGGTATGGTTAATTGTAGCACTGTATTATTAAAAATAACCAACCCAATACAAATCAGGTAGTTTAGAATAGAAAAAAAAAAAGTTCTTAGTAACATTATACTGTTGACTTCAACACACAGCAAACAGCCTGCACTGGTATTCAGCAGGAGATTTAATAAGAAAAACTGGGAAAATGAACATAAAATCTTCTCTAATCCGAAGAAAACAACTTCCCAGATGTCGTTCTTCAAATGTCAACAGCCCGACACATACTGAAGATGCTTATTTTATGTTGCTTGGAATTTTCTGGAAACAGCCTCCTATTAAACTGGAATTCATGTGTTAGGTAACCTATTGTTCTCATTATTGCTTTGAAGTAACTCTACAGGAGGTTTTCAGGTAAGGGTGTTAATTCAGATACTTCTGTTGTCATCGGGGAAGGAAAATGTCAGATATTTGTACGTAAAGTTGAATAATCAAATAATTGACTGTGCAGATTATAATTACCTTCATTTGTTGAGCATGCATTTACATTATATCATCTAATTTTCATAACATATCCGTACATATTATTACACCTTTTTTGTTTGTTCGTTTTGTTTTTGAGACAAAGTCTCTCTCTGTCCCCCAAGCTGGAGTCTCTCTCTGTCACACAAGCTGGAATGTAGTGGAATAGAGACAGGGTTTTTCCATGTTACCCAGGCTGGACTCAAACTCCCAGACTCAAGGGATCCATCAACCTCAGCCTCCCAAAGTGCTGGGATTACAAGCATGAACCACCACATGGGGCCAATAACCCTATTTTTAAAAATAAAGCATCTTAAATACACACACAAAAAAACATTTTTTCCAATATCTCAAAGCTAGAAAGTGGTATTTGATACCACTTTCTTTGGATCTATCATATAACAAAGCTGTTATTTCACTATGTTCTACTTTGTCTCTCAAAACAAATAGCTCCTACTTTTCCCCAACTAACTCTGTGTCCTAAGGCCACGAAAATCCTCTGTGGGCTCAGTTTACCTATGTATAAAAATAGTGATCTTGATATATTAATATATAAAAATATTGATCTTGAAGCTTTTAGCCACTAGTAACATTCTAGATTCCATAACATCTATAGAAACATCAATAATAAAACTATAAAATTGTAACTATGAACTATAAAAAGAACAGAAAATTAGATTTATTAAGAACATATTGTGTGCCTTGCACTCTCTCATGGACGCTTTCATACAATTTATTTCATTTAATCTTCCCAACTCGCAAAAGGAAGTCACTGTTTGTTTCATTTTTCAAGTGAGGAGTGCAGATAATACCTTGTCCATAGATAGCTAATAAGTAGTACAACCAGGATTTAAACTGAGATATGACTGGCACCAAAATTCCTTGCCTTTCCTCTTTGTCATTGCTCAGAAAGGGGTAACCTTTATGGAGAGAAACCATTGATGCTTACTCAAACTATATTTCAAATTATGTATCACTTCAAATAATATCGGAACATTTTACACAATAAACAAAGACCACATTTGGAGTTTTAATAGTCTTGCTCATTCTGAAATAATGTTCAAAGAAATAACACGGAAGTTATAAGGTTCAGCTATTAGTCATGATTCTAATACGAAGAGAATCAAATAAGTGTTGCTGAGAAGGTTTGGGGTTCACTAGTATTTACGTATAAATGATGTCAACAAATATTTCCCATACTTCTTTCATATGATCACGGGAAATGAATTTTCATTTATCAAAAACCTTGTGTTTTGATTGAATAATCCTGATAAGCTTACTGATATTACTGCCTCCCTTTCAAAAGAAAATTCTGAAGTACTCAAGAATATTTTTGTTTTTCATAGACAAGTACATTAGAACATGTCTCTCCTTGGCCCCTGTATTAGTCAGGGTTCTTCAGAGAAACAGAACCAACAGGATGGGTGGATATACAGAAAGCAATTTATTATGATGAATTGTCTCATACCAATGTGCAGACTGGCAAGCCCAAATCTGCAAAATGGGCTGCCGAGCCCACATTATAATGGTAAGATCATCTGCTTATTGTTGCAAGTAAGCAACAACCTCAGCAGGAAATCTAGCACCTTTACTTTTATTTATATTTTTTATTGCACTTCAGGTTCCGGGGTACTTGTTCAAAACATGCAGGATTGTTGTGTAGGTACACACATCGCAATGTGGTTTGCTGCCTCCATCCCCCATCACCTATATCTGGCATTTCTCCCCATGTTATCCCTACCCAACCTCTCCACCCCCTGCTGTCCCTCCCTTATTCCTCTGCAACAGACCCCAGTGTGTGATGCCCCTCTCCCTGTGTCCATGTGATCTCATTGTTCAACACCCACCTATGAGTGAGAACATGTGGGGTTTGTTTTTCTGTTCTTGTGTCAGTTTGCTGCTGAGAATGATGGTTTCCAGATTTATCCATGTCCCTACAAAGGACATGAACTCATCGTTTTTTATGGCTGCATAATATTCCATGGTGTATATATGTAGCACCTTTTCTTATATGCCACTCCATTGCTCCTGACGTGTGGGCATTTGCTGGCCTCTCCCCGACCCAGTTTCCCTACAAGCTTCTATTTCTCAGCAGTCAAGGGCTCCGGGCCCCCTCAGAGTGCACCACCTTACTGAGTTCAGTCTGGGCCTCTTAGATATCTAACCTGATCTTTAGACCAGTGAGACCAGTTTCCAACTCCGTTTTATTCTTTGGCTGTTTATATCCCACCACTTCCTCTGATAAGAAAACTTCAGCTTCGCCTCTGGATTCCTGAAACCTGACCCTTGGAAGCCCAGGCCTGCTCAGTCCATCTTTCTATACATCACTAAAGGGAGCCCTTCACTGCCTGCCTTTTGACCTTTATCATCTGAAAGAAGAATAAAGATTGATAATACAAAGTGCCGTTGTCAGAATGAAGGTGGAAATAGGTGGAAAAATATTCTCGCTGAAGGAAACAGCAGAAACACAGGAATGGCCATGCTTATTGACAACTCAAA